CACCTTATAGTAGCCCCAACTAAGTTGTATTTGCCTAGTTTATCGATAAGACTAGTTCATGCAGTAGAGGCTCATGCATTTAGCTCCAAAGGTCCCAGGTTCAATCCTGTCCACCAATGACCAGGAACTGTCAGCATTGCATTACCAACGTGGGTTTATGGAAAATACATATTGCCAAAAAAACTTAATATAATATTCTCAGACATCTGAAAGGCATTTGACTTGTTATCATAATTTTTTATAAATAATATAGAATAATACAAAATCAACATGGCACATATTAAATAGACTAAAAACTGGTTTACTGATAGGTAACAAAATGCAATTGTAAATGAGGGATCATCATCAAGTAGATCAGGGGTCGGCAACGTTTGGCACGCGGCTCGCCAGGGTAAGCACCCTGGCGGGCCGGGCCAGTTATATTTACCTGCTGACGCGGCAGGTTCGGCCGATCGCGGCCCCCACTGGCCGCGATTCACCGTCCCGGGCCAATGGGGGCGGCGAGAAGCAGCGGCCAGCACATTACTCACCCACGCCACTTCCCGCCGCCCCCATTGGCCTGGGACGGCGAACCGCGGCCAGTGGGGGCCACGATCGGCCGAACCTGCCGCATCAGCAGGTAAATAAAACTGGCCCGGCCCGCTAGGGTGCTTACCCTGGCGAGCCACGTGCCAAACGTTGCCGACCCCTGAAGTAGATGTTTTTTCTAATGGGATCACACAGGGATTGGTTCTTGGCACTATACTATTTAATATCTTTATCAATGACCCGGAAGGACACACAAACCCATTACTGATAAAGTCTGCAAATGATGTAAAGATTGGAGGACTGGTAAATAATGAAGAAGAGAGGTCACTGATACAGAGTAATCTGGATCGCTTGGTAAGAGGGGCACAAGCAAACAATATTTGTTTCAACAGGGCCAAATGTAAGGTTATACATTTAAGAATGTAGGCCATATTTATAAGAGGAGAAGAATCTAGCCTGGGAAGTGGTAAGTCTGAAAAAGACTTGGGAATTATGTAGAAGGTCAGACTAGACTTTCTGGTCTTAAAATGGATGAATCTAAGCACCATTGTAGCAGCTTGTGATGTTCTAAGGACTAAGATGAAGATTCTAACACTGTACCTTCCAATTATAAATGCAAAAACCTGTTAATGCAATGTTAAACTCCACTATAAAAACACAACATCTGGAGTATTCTCTGGTGGGTAAAGCTGGTTATGATCAGAATGTTAGTGTGCATCTCCCTTCCATTTATGTAAACAATGAAAACCAGTTTTGTGTGTGTGTGTGTGTGTGTGTGTGTGTGTGTGTGTATTTCATCTATACATATGAAAGCCCTGTGATTGTTTTAAAATTAAACTTTTACTAAGAAGAAATCATATTTGGATATGAAATGAAAGGTAATGCATCTCACAATAGTTAAAATATGAAAAGAAAGAGAAGAGCATATAGGCAGTAAGAATGAACATGATCTAATGCAGTGTTTCCCAAACTTGGGACGCCGCTTGTTTAGGGAAAGCCCCTGGTGGGCTGGGCCAGTTTGTTTACCTGCCGCGTCCGCAGGTCTGGCCGATCGCGGCTCCCACTGGCTGCGGTTCGCTGCTCCAGGCCAATGGGAGCTGCTGGAAGCGACGTACTGGCCGCCGCTTCCAGC